AAGGGATTAAATGATCCCACTGCATTGATGAGATATTGATTCAGATACTAATCTCTCCCAAAGACACTCAAAGACACACCCAGAAATACTGTTTTATCAGATAACTGGGCATCCACAAGTTGACACACAAAATTAATCATCACAAGTACACCCCTTCTCAACTTGGCACTCATATGCGTCTCCTTAAACCATACTTAATTGCCAAACAAAGTACATAATATAACTCTGCCTAACATGACATAACTCTCTTGCATGCAACCAAAATTGCACTAATTTCTTCCCCAGAAGAGGAGATAAAATCCTTGAATGATGTTTACTCTTCTCCAGATATGGCATAACTTAAATACTATGATGTAATATTAACAATATTTAAATACTAATGTAAAATAAATACATCTTATGTTACATGGTAAGGGAATGAGAGGGGAACTAAAACAAAGATATTTCCTTAATATATGTAGATATACACTCAAGTGTATTCATAACAAAATAAGGAGAAAATTCGCATGACACTACAGTCCTCCTTTCTGTAACTGGTCATGTTGTAGTTGATATTTATAACTACCTTTTTAAAAAATAAACATAATGGTAATAGAACCCTATTTAAACTATATACTTCTGCATTTGGGTACATAAAATTTCTTCAAGATAATTCAAAGAATTTAGTTGTCTAGTAGCTTCTGTTGACTATTAGGTGACTATTAGCTTTATTTATTTAAAGTGATTTATTATTGAAAGTATTACATATGTCTCCTTTCCCCCCATTAACCTCTCCCCATTCATACCTACCCCCCCAGCACAAGCCCCCATCCCCCTACTGTCTGTGTCCATTGGCAATGCTTATATTCATGCATACAAGTCCTTTGGTTGATCTCTTACCCACCCTCTGTCTCTCTGTGGTTTGATGGTCTGTTCGATGCTTCTAAATGTCTCTGGATCTATTTTTTTGTTCCTCAGCTTACTAGTATGTTGTTCATTATATTCCACAAATGAGTGAGAAAACACTGCCCCTCCCACGATGAAAGTTGTCCAACATAATCAGCATGCCACCAGTTTAGCTCACTGACTATCCTGGGGAATGGTGTCATTCTAGAGTTCAATGGTGACAGATTAGGAAATCACCAGTGACTGTGGCCAGGTCAGGCTTGGAGAATAAAATTTCATGTTGCTGAGCCCATCTATAACCTCCACCCTTGCCATCATAACCATGTGAGCTCATTGGGTGACAGTAGGTGTTGTTATGGATAGAGGCTGACGAGTATCCACAGAATGAGTCTTCCTTTCCACCTATTAAAATCTTCCTCTGCTGAGGTCTCACCCTTTAGTGAGCATCCACATGTGACCCAAATATCTTCACATTTTTTGCCAACTCATAGAGATCTAGCCACATACTTTCATTCCAAATTTGACACTTCCATTCATGTTTTTTTCCCAAGTTCCTGACCATTCAGCCAAACCACACTGTTATATAATCACATATCTGGCTATTTCTCTTATCAAGCAAAGTGCACAACGAGGTACAATGCCTGAATTTCTTCCTTCTTGGGAGGATTTCACTTCACCACTGTCCTTCAAGAATGTCTAAGAGAGGAGCTATAGTGCTGTAACTGTCTAGTTTTTAGGTGGTGCCTGTATAAAATACAGAATCATCTGTACACTAGGCCCAAATCGTCTCTGCCTTTGCCAACTAATGGTATGAAACCCCCTATGAAGCCATAAATGCAAGCTGGGATAGAGAAGGTGGTGTAGCAGTAATAGAGACCATGGTATTTGGGCCACTTCTTCATATAACTTACCTGTGCCTTCAGGTACCACTTGGTTCTGATTGCATATTTACCATTTATATTTCTAATTTAATGGCTTTGTGGACCAGAAAACACCCAGTTCATGATGAGCAGTTGAGATTACATGATAACTTTGTGGCTCATGGTTAAATGTTCAGTCTCTACTGTGGTCCAGTAACAGCCAATGAAATGTTTCTGTAAAGAAAAGCAGTTATCTGCAATTTATTGCAGGACTTTTCTCCTAAGTTTTAAAGGCCTAATCTGATATACCTATAGGATCTACCAAAGTCTTCAAACATCATCCCTATCTGCCACTGATACTTAAAGACGATTGTATCTGCTGGATCATGTGGCCCAAGTGGCAGAACCGCTTGCAATCAAGCCTGGACCTTTTGCAGAAATTTTTTGTTTTATTCTCTAAAGTTTTACATAAGTCTCCTTTTTCCACAATTGACCCCGCCCCCACCTACCCATTCCCACCCTGGGCAAGCCCCCACCACCCCATTGGTTATGCTAATACGCATGCATACAAGTCCTTTGGTTGCTCTCTAACCCTCCCTCCCTCTGCCATTTGTCTCTGGATCTATTCTTGTTCATCAAATTATGTTGATCATTATATCCTACACATGAGTGAGATCATGTCATATTTATCTTTCTCTGACTGGCTTATTTTGCTTAGCATAATGCTCTCCAGTTCCATCCTTGCTGCTGCAAATGGTACTAGTAAAAGTTCCTTCTTTTTATAGCAGCATAGTATTCCATTGTGTAGATGTATCAGTTTTTGAATCCACACACCTGCTTATGGGCAATTAAGTTGTTTCCAAATCTTAGCTATTGTAAATTGTGCTGCTATGAACATAGGGGTGCATATATCCTTTCTGAATGGTGTTTCTGGCTTCTTGGGATATAGTCCTAGAAGTGAAATTACTGGGTCAAATGGGAGGTCCATTTTTAACTTTCTGAGGAAACTCCATACTGTCTTCCACAGTGGCTGCACCAGTCTGCATTCCCACCAGCAGTGCAGGAGCATGCCTTTTTCTCCACATCCTTGCCAGCACTTGTCATTTGTAGATTTTTGATGATAGCCATTCTGACAGGTGTGAGATGGTATCTCATTGTTGTTTTGATTTGCATCTCTCCAATAATTTAGTGATTTGAGCATGTTTTCATATGCCTCTGGGCCTTCTCTATGTCCTCTATTGAAAAGTGTCTATTTAGAACCTTTGCCCATTTTTTGATTGGATCATTTATCTTCCTTTGGTTAAGTTGTATGAGTTCTCGGTAAATTTTAGAGATTAAACCCTTATCTGAAATATCATTGGAAAATATGTTCTCCCATGCAGTGGGCCTTCTTGTTGTTTTGTTGATGGTTTCTTTTGCTGTGCAGAAGCTTTTTATTTGGATGTAGCCCCATTTGTTTATTTTCTCCTTAGTCTTCACTGCCCTAGGAGCTGAGTCAGTAAAGATATTGCTACGACATATGTCTGCTATTTTTCTGCCTATGGAGTCTTGTAGGATTTTTATGGTTTCCAGTCTTACATTTAAGTCCTTTATCCATTTTGAGTTTGCTTTTGTGTATGGTGTAAGTTGGTGATCTACTTTCATATTTTCGTATGTATCTGACCAAATTTCCCAGCACCATTTATTAAAGAGACTGTCTTGATTCCATTGTATGCTCTTACCCTCCTTTGTCAAATGTTAATTGAGCATAATCTTTTGAGTCAGTTTCTGGGTTCTCTGTTTGTTCCATTGATCTATATGTCTGTTCTTGTGCCAGTACCAGGCAGTTTTGAGAAGAGTGGCTTTGTAATATAGCTTGATATCTGGTATTGTGATCCCTCCTACTTTGTTCTTTCTCAGGATTGCTGTGACTAT